GATGGCTGGCAGAGAGGGAGAGACTATGGCTGGATGGACTGGGATGTTTGGACGAGTTACTCTGGGTCACTGGGTCAGACTGGTGTTGGACAAAATTAATTGTCTGGAATCTTATTTATCCTTTTTCTTTTTTTTTTAAACAAAGGGGGAGGACACACACACAACATGGGTGCTCCTTGAGGACATTCTCTTATGTGAAATAAACTGGTCACAAAACACAAATACTGCATGACCTCACTTATGTGAGGTCCCCAGTGGGGCCAAATTCCTGGAGACAGAAGACTGGTGCCAGGGGCTGAGGAGAGGGTGGACTAGAGTTTAATGGGCACAGGGTTCCACCTGGGGGAGAGGATGGCATTCTAGGGATGAACGGTGGAGATGGCTGCACTTATGTCCTTGATGCCACTGACCTGTGCACTTGAGACGGGTAGGAAGGGAAAATCATGTGATGTTCTTTAACCCAATAAAAAGACGGAAAGGAAATGGTCTTCCCTCTTTTGAGAGACAATTGAATTAGGTGGTTTCATTCCTGTGATTTTTTTTTTATTTGAGATAAGGTTTGTGTGGTTTTGGAAACAGCTACAGGGACAACCATTGTTCAGTAGTGCAAAGCAGAATGCCCGAGGTTCCCAGGTGCTACTGTGGAGAGGGCGACAAGGAAGGGTGGGGGAGGAGGCACTAGCTGTTCATCTTACATCTCATTTCTTTCTTTTCTCATAAAGGGAGAGGAGTGGCAGCCATAGCACGTACTTGTGTTAAGTCTGAGTAATGGGTACATGAGTATCTATCCCCTTTTATCAGATAATTTACACCAAAATAATTTTATAGTCGAAATGAGAAAATGAAATAGAACAAGCCTGCGAAGAGGGAGAATCGAGTGGATGCTGAAGAATCGGTCTAAATTCTCGTAGACTGTCCTCCTTGCGTCTCTTGTTTTAATTCGCCATCTTCTTCCCTTCCACCTTCCTCCCTCGCTTCATGGAACAACCCCAAATCACCCTGGCTCCTCCTGCCCCGCCTACCTGAGGCAATGCCACTAAAGAGAGCAACAGATACATTTTTGTTCATTCCCCATGGGTCCTCGGGATGTCCTTTAATCTTAAGAAAACTGAACAATTTTCCAGTCTGATCTTTCTTGCCCAAAGCACCCAAGACTGAAGTTGTTCTGTGGCTGTCTCAGCCCCACCTGTGTTACACATTCAGGACGCTATACACATGCTCTTTGTGTTTGAGGTGTCGAAATGTTTCATGAGCAAACCTGGTTCTGGACTCATTTTCCAGACTTGCTATTGTTTTCCTGGGCTCCAAAGATGTCCTTCTAAGAAGAGCTACCAGCTGCAGTTCCCTAGGGAGCTCACAGAAGCACAGCTAGCATCATCGTCTCTGGGAGACGTGGGTCATCCAGGGAGGGGATGGGCATGAGGGCCCAGTAACCAATTATGCAGAAAACCATTGACTCCTTCCCTCTCTTAAGCTGTGAACCTTGCCGATTCTTACCCCGTCACCTTTGGACAGCTGTATCCTTTTTGGCATCTGGAAAGAGTGCCACAGGACTCTTCCTCTTGAGTCCCCTGACCTCTGGTGGGGAAGGTCACCAAGGGTCAGGATGGGTTCCAGCGAAAGATCCACTCCTTGTACAGAGCATCTGTTTGCCTGGACACTACCTTGTCTGCTGGTGTAGATTCTGGCTGTGGGCCAGGTCTTCAAGCCCTGGGCCCCATTGGAATTCTAAATTCCTTCATGCAGGAGAAATGGCGCTGTGCCTGTGGCATTGTAGACACCTGCTAAAATTCACCAAGGACAGAGAGCTTCCAGGTTAAAATGGCCAGTGTGGTTTTTGTCCCTCTATCCTGGCTGTCTCTGAGATGGGACCACTGAGCTTTTTGCGACCATTCAAAGTCACACACACACACCAAGTCATTTGTTTATTCCACAAGGACCCATCCTCCAGTAGCCCATTCATGTATGAACTCATTAACTAGCCGATTGATGAGGATGGTGTCCTCATGACCCAAACACTATCAGTAGTGCCCCTAGGTCGGGACCAACTCTTTAACACAAATGTAAAATTATCCCTTTTACATCCAAACCAAAACGGGCAGATTTTCTGTGTAAGAGTTCGTGTTCTTAATTATGAGCGTATTATTTTCCCATAAAACTATTTTTAGAAGGCTATCTGGTGTATGTGTGTGTGTTGAGCTTTATATAAACACATACATTTGCAATTATTTATATAATACATATAATTGTCGGCCATTAATTTAGATGTTGGAGATATAAGGAGCAGTCCTTACCTAGACTCATAAAACAGATTTACAATCAATAAGATGGAATAGATATGTAAAGAGAAAATTGTAATACACTGAAGAACTGACATGTGGCAGTATCTGTGTTCTTGTTGAGACCATCTGGAGTCCTGGCCTCCAGCTGCTCTTCCCTGCTAGAGATCTTTACTTTCCTTCTGATTTGAGTTACTGAAAGCTGTGTCAATGTTGTTTACCAGCTCTGCTTCACGAGCACGTGTTGCCTTGGCCTTGAGGATCAGAGGATAAGGTTTTCACCTGTTGGCCCACCTGACTGTGTTGGGTAGGTATATAAGCGTCCGTGGTGCTATTGAATAAGGGGCTTCTTACCAGTGACTAGAGGTCCATGTCTCTGTCTCTCTGTCTTGTGTGTCTTTGTGTGTTTCAATCTCCAGCCCCCTGTCCGAAGCTCGCGAACTGTATGGTAGTGCATAGAGCACAGACAGGTGTTGTGCACTGTAGTTCTGGCAAAGAGAAATAGTATGTGTTTGTTTCTTGACTAGCATTAGGGTTACACTGGGGTGAATCTTTGCTTTCTGAAAATGTCTTACATTGTAAATATATAATTTAGAGACATTTCTCTTTGTGTGCTATGCTTCAATAAAGCTGACACTTGTCCTATTTTAAAAGGACCTGACTGTTCTTTGGGCTGACTTCAAACTCATGATCCCTCTGTCCCCGTGCTGAGATTTAGTCCTGCGTCACCAAACCTGGTGCACATGCAATATGTCCCAATTTTAAAAGAAAGCAGTGCTTTGGAGCTTGTTTTGACTTGGACTTCAGAGGCCCAAGGCCTCCGCCTTGACATCCATGTCAGCTGCTAGCGCCGTTGACATCCACTTGCTCACATGGTTCCAGGAGGTTCTCGTCTTCCTCGCCACCATCAGCTGTCATCTCCTCATATCTACCCAACTGACAAGCATCTTTGGGAAACATTTCTAAGGATTTCCTTCTCTCTGGGACCAGCTCAGGCTTGATTGACATTGTGAAGTCACATAGGATCTCCCCCTACACACACATAGGGTGACATCGTGAAGTCGCACAGGATCTCCCTGCACACACACATGCAGAGTGACATTGTGAAGTCACACAGGATCTCCCTGTACACACATGCAGGGTGACATCCTGAAGTCACACAGGATCTCCCCCTACACACATGTGTAGGATGACATCGTGAAGTCACACAGGATCTCCCTGCACACACATGCAGAGTGACATCGTGAAGTCGCACAGGATCTCCCTGCACACACACGTAGGGTGATGTACCTATGAATGAAGCCACATGCTGCAAAGGGCAGAGGCTACCGGGTGTCAGTCCTTCTGTGCTAGGAGGGCAAAGCACCTGGGGAACGCCAGTGCTCTTCTCCGAGATGAGAGAAGCTGGCTCCTAAACATTGTACAACAAAGAATGGGACCAATGATGCTCAACTTGAATCTGAGACAAAGAAATTAGTAGGTCTCCTCTGTCTGCTTACTCTTTGATAGTATAACTTAATTTTAGCACAAATGAATTAATGTTTCATTGATGTAGCTTTATTTCAGAAATATATTTACTAAGCACATAAACACAATTAACAACAGCAACAAAAGACTCTGAGGGGTTGGGGAGATGGCTTAGCAGGCAGATGTGTTTGCCACCAAACAGGAGGATCTGAGTCCCATCCCCAGGACCCACATGGTGGAAGGAGAGAACCAACTCTGCACGTTGTCTTTTGACCTCCACCCTTGAACTGTGGCCTATGTGCATGCGTGTGTGAGTGTGGGGGCTCCCCCCATCTCTCTCTCACACACACATGATAAACACATAGGCAAGTAAATGTGAATTCTTTTAAATTATTCTGAGCTAGAACAAATTTAAGATTCTTGGAATTTGGCCGTCTGTGGTCCTTCTACAACCTGTGGCCTAATCCCATGCCAGTTTAAAACAGGGACTAGATTGATGCAGGGTCGTAACTGAACACACCAGGGAGTCCTGAGCACAGTGCCACCTCCCACGAGGCCTGCGGGCTTGGCAGAGTTTATTTTTAGACTCAAGAATGCCTGGTGACTTAACTTAAGCAGGACAATCCAAACATTTGTTCCACTTCACTGTGATAAGATGCCATTCCATTTCTTCCTGTCACTTCACCATCCTTTCGAACTGGCTTCATTGTAAGTAGACATTATGAATTTGTTTTGAGGCTGAATCCTTTTATTACATAGCCCTAGCTGTTTTGGAACTCTCAGAGGTCCCCCTGAGCTCTGAGATTAAAAGCCTGTGTCCCCATACCTGGTGAAGAATATGTTCAGGCAACAAATTTTATTTTAAAATGTCTGTCTTCTTCATGAAAATTAGAAAGCGTAATATGTCCATATATTTCCTGTGTCAACTAGAGAAAAACATTCCAGGTTTGTCTGCCATTAAATCTGTGTGGGTAACAGATTCCACATCTGCAGTAAGGGTTGGGGACTCTTTTCCTTCAGGAGACTTATTAGACTCAGAGTCAGGGATGCCTACTTGACTTTACACTAGTGTAGCAATAGTTGATACTTTCTGTAACATTATCTCCTCTAAAGATGCTGGCATTGCAGGAGGTATGAGAGGCTGAATCCAGAGATGAGTACTGGAAGGTTTATCTGTACCATCGTCTTCTGAACCCCACTCCAGAGATATTCACTGGGTAACAAATGCCTGGCTTATTTGCCCTGCATTACTGACTAGCACATGGACACTTTGCCTCCTCTAGCTGGGGGAGGGTGTCCAAGAACATTCACGAAGACTTGTCCCACAGGGTGAGAAACAGCTCCTGTTTGCCAAACCTGCTGTGAAGCTTCAGGCTGTGGGATGTTGTGCTGAGGGTATGGACCGCCTTTCTGTGCCTTTGGCTTCTCTGCCTGGGTGACTGTGTATCTGCTCATGGTCGCCACTGACACAGCCATACAGAGGGAGAAAGATCCCCAGGCAAGGCTGCAACAGAAGGCACAGTTAGCAGAGGCCTGAAGTGGGATTCCAGGGCTGCCCTGGGGTTGGCCACCCACTTGGGATAGCAGACACTACTGCTGTACATGGGGATGCTGTTTTGTGCCTTTAGGTACCTGTTCGAGTTAAGTTGGGAGATTTCCCTTTACTGGGAGGATTTATTGTTGGAGCAAATTATAAAATTCTGCATTTCCTAGAAAAGGGCAAGGTAGGAGAGTGCAGAGTTTATAGGGAAGAATGACATCAAGCGCTCATTGCACTCCCCACAACCTCCCCGAGGGACAGCTTCAGAGCAGCAGTAGGGAGGAAATGGGAAGGGATGGCAGGTGTTTGTGAGAGGAGTGGCCCATCCATAGAAGACAGGAGCAGCACAGTATTTAAGGGGAAGGTTTCTCAGAAGACAGGAGGAAGTCTATTGCATAACCCCACTGAGTCCCTGAGAGGACACACACACACACACACACTCACTAGGACATTAGGCAAAAGTCTGACCTCAGACGTCTTCCACGCCACAGACATGATCTCACGCCCCTGTGCCTCTGAGAGCACAGGTTTGGTTCCTGAAGGCATAGGCACAAAGAGCCCAGATCCCAAGACAGAAGGATGTGTGGGAGACAGAGGGGAAGGCTGATCTGAAAACAGGGCTTTTATGGCAAGGTGGCTGTGGAGCAAAGGCTGTTTCACTCTTTTCTCACACCTGACCTCAGAATTAAGATTAGAAAAACAAGTGGAAGAAACCCCCACCCCCTTGAAAGTAAAACGAAAAGAGGAAGAAGCTAGATAAGGAAAGAAAAAGACCTTGGCTAATGAACACCAGTGACCCAACTAGGAAGAGTTCTGAGAGAACAGAAAACCATGGAGAAGAAATAGCAAAAGAAGTAACACAGGAAAAGTTCCCTGAAGTGTGGGATACAAGACAAGCAGCTCGATGGGAGGAATACCCAGAAAGCCCTAGACTACAAGTCAGAATGATACCGACCCCTAGACAGCAACGACACTGGCAGGAAGGAAACAGAATAGTGCCTTAAAAATTCCAAGGGCAAAGGCTCTTTGACAGCCTTGTGGACATTGTTTTGGGGGGTGTTGTTTTTGTTTTTTGGCCAGATGATCAAGCACAGCCACTTTTTAAAAATTGGATTTTAGGTCCCCTCTTTAAGATGGAATCCATACCTGATACAGCTAAAGTGGAAAGAACCTGAGACTAGTTAGGTCGTGGGCCTTAGGGAGGAACCCACTACTACTACTTTATGAAAGGAACACAGCAACCAAATGACTTCCAGTGACATACTGCTACACCCATAGATCAATCAACCCTGGTCAAAGAAGCTGAAGTAGATGGTAACACAGAGACCCACAGCTGATAATGTGCAGAGAGTGAGAGACTTTGGAGCACTCTAAATGAATGCCCTCACATAGACATACACACAGGTAAAACACCAATGCACACAAAATAAAATCAAATAAAAACTCAAGAAAATAAATCACAAAAACTCTTAAAAAGTCAAGGTAGGTGATTTCATTCTACCACTGAGAAAACTGGATTATGGAAAGGTTATACTACCAACCGAGTCACAAGAGTGGCAGATACCAGTCCTATGACGATGTCTATTTTCCTACAAAAATCTGTGTTCATCTCTCCTGCTTCACCAGAACTTGAGCAGGGTAACCAAGCCATTTACCAATAGGACCAGCCGTAGTCCCACGTCTGAGGCCGCCAATCTTCCGGTCCCAGGTTCACAGTGATTTGAAAACTAGTTGTGTACATCATGTGGGCCACCATGCCCAGGAGTCCTGTGTAGGTAAAGCTCTGTGAGCTACAGTTTAGAACACAACACAGGGGAAAATCTGCTCTACCCTGCCTGTGTTGGATGCTGGGAGCACTCTACCATCCACAGATCCCTGTTCAGTATCTGCACTTATACATCCTTAAACTCTCCGTCTGACATCTCATTCCCACAGTAGAAACTAAAGGGACACCAGAAACAGGCCTGATCACAACCCAGAAGAACATAGTAGATGCCAGGACCTGAGCAGGAATCGCCACAAGTCCATGGCCCTTCTCCATGCTATGGAAGATCTAGCCATCGGATTTTATCTTTTTACTTACCGGTGCTAATCCCTGGGCAAGATGTGCTACGTTCATCAAACACAGGAGTGATGCACAAGTTGGACTGCTACACATTAACAGAACTTTGTGTGTCTGTCTGGAGGCTGTAAGGAAGCCATATATTCAGGGTTCTATTTGGTGAAGACATTAACTTTAAGGACCTTAGAAGGCTAAATTAAGTTGCTCAGAGAACAGAGGTAGCATTTAAAAAAAAAATGAAAGAGAGCGGAAGGCGGCCGGAACACCGGGCAGCGGAAGGCAGCCGGAGGACGCCCAGCGCAGCCTGCGGGGACCAACTGGGACAGGCTGGAACCGGCGGGGACCGGAGTGGCAGCAGAGGACACAGGCTGCTGGTGGCGGGAACCATCCCAGCAGCAGAAGCAGGCTGCAGGGACCGCGCGAAACACCGAGAACAGATCGTCCCACTACAATTAAACCAAAGAGACCCCTTAGATAGCATCGATAGGAGGAGATGGGCAGGCGTCAAGGAAAGAATTCACCCAATAATCTGAAAATCAGCATGAAAACACCAGAACCCAATGATCTTACAACAGAAGGTCTCCAACACCCTAACACAGAAGAAGTGGAAAAAATTGACTTTTTGAAAGCAGTAGAGTCCCTTAAACAACATGTGAAAAATGCCCTTATAGAAATGGATGAGAAGTATAACCAAAAATTTGAGGAAATGAGTAAATACGTACCTAATACCCTGGGAAACCAAGAAAGAACGATCAAACAGGTAATGGAAACAGTTCAAGAATTGAAAACTGAAATGGAAGCAAGGAAGAAAACACAAACTGAGGACCAGCTGGATATGGAAAATCTAGGTCAACGAGCACAGCCTACAGAAACAAGCATAATCAATAGAATACAAGAAATAGAAGAAAGAATCTCAGATTCTGAGGACACCATAGAGAAAATAAACGCTCTGATCAAAGAAAACTGCAAAGCCAACAAATTCTCATCACAAAACATTCAGGAATTATGGGACACAATAAAAAGACCAAATATAAGAATAATAGGAATAGAAGAAGGAGAAGAGTCACAGCCCAAAGGCCCAGAAAATATTTTGAACAAAATTATGGAAGAAAACTTTCCCAACTTAAAGAAAGATATTCCTTTGAATATTCAAGAAGCATACAGAACACCAAACAGACTGGATCAAAGGAAAACATCCCCTCGCCATATAATAATCAAAACACAAAATATACAAGTTAAAGAAAGAATACTAAGAGCTGCAAAGGAAAAAGGCCAAGTAACTTATAAAGGTAAACTGATCAGACTTACACCTGATTTCTCTATGGAAACAATGAAAGCCAGAAGGTCCTGGATAGAAGTACTGCAGAAGCTAAGAGATCATGGATGCAAGCCCAGACTACTATACCCAGCCAAGCTTTCGTTCACTATAAATGGAGAAACCAAGACATTCCAGGATAAGAACAAATTTAAGCAATATGTAGCCACGAATCCAGCCCTACAGAAAGTAATAGAAGGAAAACCGCAACCCAAGGAATCCAACATTGCCAACACTGCCTACAATAACTCAGGCATCTAGCGACCCTTCACTAGCACAACTCAAAGAAGGGAGACACACAAATTCTACTTCCAAAAACAACAAGAATATCCGGCATGAACAACCACTGGTCATTAATATCACTTAATATTAATGGTCTCAACTCACCTATAAAAAGGCACAGGCTAAGAGATTGGATTCGAAAACAGGATCCAACATTCTGCTGTTTGCAAGAAACACATCTCAACCACAAAGACAGGCATCTACTCAGAGTAAAGGGTTGGGAAAAGGTCTTTCAAGCAAATGGTCCTAAGAAAAAAGCAGGTGTGGCCATATTAATTTCTAACAAAACTGACTTCAAACTAAAATCAATCAGAAGAGATCGAGATGGACACTTTATACTCATAACAGGAACAATTTGTCAGGATGAGGTCTCAATCCTGAATATTTATGCCCCTAATATAAAAGCACCCATGTATGTAAAAGAAATATTACTAAAACTCAAGGCAGATATCAAACCACACACACTAGTAGTAGGAGACTTCAATACACCTCTCTCAGCAATGGACAGGTCAATCAGACAGAAACCTAATAGAGAAGTAAGAGAACTACTGGAGGTAATGAAGCAAATGGACTTAACAGACATCTATAGAACATTCCACCCAAATAGGAAAGAATATACCTTCTTCTCTGCAGCCCATGGAACCTTCTCGAAAATTGACCACATACTCGGAAACAAAGGAAACCTCCACAGATACAAAAAAATATCAGTGTCCACCTGTGTCTTATCAGATCACCACGGATTAAAGTTAGAATTCAACAACAATCCTACCTCCAGAAAGCCGACAAACTCATGGAAACTGAACAGTCAACTACTGAACCACACCTGGGTTAAGGAAGAAATCAAGAAGGAAATTAAAGTCTTCCTGGAATTCAATGAAAATAGAGAAACAACATACACGAACCTATGGGACACTATGAAAGCAGTGCTAAGAGGAAAGTTCATAGCACTAAGTGCCCACTTAAAGAAAACAGAGAAAGCATACATCGGAGACTTAACAGCACACCTGAAAGCTTTAGAAAAAAAAGAAGCAGACGCGCCCAGGAGGAGCAGAAGACTGGAAATAATCAAACTGAGGGCGGAAATCAACAAAATAGAAACGCAGAAAACAGTCCAAAGAATCAATGAAACAAAAAGTTGGTTCTTGGAGAAAATCAACAAGATCGACAAACCCCTATCCAAACTAATTAAACGACAGAGAGAGAACACGCAAATAAATAAGATCAGAAATGAAAAGGGGGACATAACCACAGACAAAGAGGAAATTCAGAGACTCATTAGATCTTACTACAAAAGCCTGTATGCCACAAAACTAGAAAATGCAAAAGAAATGGACATGTTTTTAGATAAGTGCCACATACCAAAGCTAAACCAAAACCAGGTGAACGATCTAAATAGACCTGTTAGTCGCGAAGAACTAGAAACCGTTATCAAAAATCTACCTTCCAAAAAAAGCCCAGGACCAGATGGTTTCAATGCAGAATTCTACCAGAACTTCCAAGAAGAGCTAATACCTATACTCCTTAATGTATTTCACAATATAGAAACAGAAGAGTCATTGCCAAATTCCTTTTATGAAGCTACAGTTACCCTGATACCAAAACCACAAAAAGACCCAACCAAGAAAGAAGATTACAGGCCTATCTCACTCATGAATATCGACGCAAAAATTCTCAATAAAATACTGGCAAACCGAATCCAAGAACACATTAGAAAAATTATCCATTATGATCAAGTAGGCTTCATCCCAGAGATGCAGGGCTGGTTCAACATACGCAAATCTATCAATGTAATCCAGCATATAAATCAACTGAAAGAAAAAAACCATATGATTATTTCATTAGATGCTGAAATAGCATTTGACAAAATTCAACACCCCTTTATGATAAAAGTCTTGGAGAGATTAGGGATACAAGGGTCATACCTAAATATAATAAAAGCTATTTACAGCAAGCCGTCAGCTAACATTAAATTAAATGGAGAAAAACTCAAAGCCATCCCACTAAAATCAGGAACACGACAAGGATGTCCACTCTCTCCATACCTCTTCAATATAGTGCTTGAAGTTCTAGCAATAGCAATAAGACAACATAAAGGGATCAAGGGGATTCGTATCGGAAAAGAAGAAGTTAAGCTCTCGTTATTTGCAGATGATATGATAGTATACATAAGCGACCCCAAAAACTCTACCAAAGAACTCCTACAGCTGATAAACACCTTTAGTAATGTGGCAGGATACAAGATCAACTCCAAAAAATCAGTGGCCTTCCTATACACTAAGGATAAGGAAACAGAGAGGGAAATTAGAGAAGCATCACCTTTCACGATAGCCACAAATAGCATAAATTATCTTGGGGTAACTCTGACCAAGGATGTGAAAGATCTATTTGACAAGAACTTTAAGTCTTTGAAGAAAGAAATTGAAGAGGACACCAGAAAATGGAAAGATCTTCCTTGCTCCTGGATTGGGAGGATCAACATAGTAAAAATGGCAATTCTACCAAAAGCAATCTATAGATTCAATGCAATCCCCATCAAAATCCCATCAAAATTCTTCACAGATCTGGAGAAGACAATAATCAACTTTATATGGAAAAACAAAAAACCCAGGATAGCCAAAACAATCTTATACAACAAAGGAGCGTCTGGAGGCATTACCATCCCTGACTTCAAACTCTACTACAGAGCTACAGTATTGAAAACAGCTTGGTATTGGCATAAAAACAGAGAAGTCGACCAATGGAATCGAATAGAAGACCCTGACATTAACCCACAAACCTATGAACACCTGATTTTTGATAAAGGAGCTAAAAGTATACAATGGAAAAAAGAGAGCATCTTCAACAAATTGTGCTGGCAAAACTGGATGTCAACCTGTAGAAGAATGAAAATAGATCCATATCTATCACCATGCACAAAACTCAAATCCAAATGGATTAAAGACCTCAATATCAGTCTGAACACACTAAACCTGATAGAAGAGAAAGTGGGAAGTACTCTACAACACATGGGCACAGGAGACCACTTCTTACATACAACCCCAGCAGCACAGACATTAAGGACCTCATTGAATAAATGGGACCTCCTGAGACTGAGAAGCTTCTGTAAAGCAAAGGACACTGTCGCTAGGACACAAAGGCAACCCACTAACTGGGAGAAGATCTTCACCAACCCCGCAACTGACAAAGGTCTGATCTCCAAAATATATAAAGAACTCAAGAATCTAGACTGTAAAAGGCTAACCAACCCAATTATAAAATGGGGCATTGAGCTGAACAGAGCATTCTCAACAGAAGAACTTCAAATGGCCAAAAGACACTTGAGGTCATGCTCAACTTCCTTAGCGATCAGGGAAATGCAAATCAAGACAACTTTAAGATACCATCTTACACCTGTCAGAATGGCGAAAATCAAAAACACCAATGATAGCCTTTGTTGGAGAGGTTGTGGAGAAAGGGGTACACTCATCCATTGCTGGTGGGAATGCAAACATGTGCAACCACTTTGGAAAGCAGTGTGGCGGTTTCTCAGGAAATTCGGGATCAACCTACCCCTGGACCCAGCAATACCACTCTTGGGAATATACCCAAGAGAGGCCTTATCATACAACAAAAGTATATGCTCTACTATGTTCATAGCAGCATTGTTTGTCATAGCCAGAACCTGGAAACAACCTAGATGCCCTTCAATGGAAGAATGGATGAAGAAAGTATGGAATATATACATATTAGAGTATTACTCAGCAGTAAGAAACAAGGACTTCTTGAATTTTGCATACAAATGGATGGAAATAGAAAACACTATCCTGAGTGAGGTAAGCCAGACACAAAAAGAGGAACATGGGATGTACTCACTCATAATTGGTTTCTAGCCATAAACCAAGGACATTGAGCCTATAATTAGTGATCCTAGAGAAGCTAAATAAGGAGAACCCAAAGAAAAACATATAGGCATCCTCCTGAATATTAACCTTCAGCAAGCGATGAAAGGAGACAGAGACCCACATTGGAGCACAGGACTGAATTCTCAAGGTCCAAATCAGGAGCAGAAGGAGAGAGAGCACGAGCAAGGAACTCAGGACCATGAGGAGTGCACCCACACACTGAGACAATGGGGATGTTCTACTGGGAACTCACCAAGACCAGCTGGCCTGGGTCTGGAAAAGCCTGGGATAAAACCGGACTCTCTGAACATATCGGACAATGAGGACTACTGAGAACTCAAGAACAATGGCACTGGGTTTCTGATCCTACTGCACGTACTGGCTTTGTGGGAGCCTAGGCAGTTTGGATGCTCAACTTACTAGACCTGGATGGAGGTGGGGGGTTCCTTGGACTTCCCACAGGACAAGGAACCCTGATTGCTTTTCGGGCTGAGGGGGGGGACTTAATTAGGGGAGGGGGAGGGAAATGGGAGGCGGTGGCTGGGAAGAGACAGAAATCTTTAATAAATAAATAAATTAAAAAAAAATGAAAGAGTTCTCTGTGGAACATGTAAACCAAAGGTTGGTAATAATTTTGAAGATATTGGAATGTATACAGTAGATACACTCCTATTTTGTTTTCACCAGAGCTTAGCTATGACAGTCAACTTACTGAAATGAAGTAACTCCCCTAGAGTTACTTAGTATCTACTTACTTATATACAAGCATCCTGTACCAGAGGCCTGAACTCAGGAGGATTCCTCTGTGGATTCAAACCTAACCCCTCTGCTAAGCGAGATCATTGCTGTTCCCAGCATCATTGCATCCTCCTCCCTGCCTGTGACACAAATGGGTACGTGTTTCTCTCCACCTGTGCCCCCCCCCCTTTTTCTTTTCAACACTATTGCACCCAATGGAATTCGTTCAGTGACTTATCTAGAAGACCAGCTGTCTTTCTGAGCTGGCCAGTGACTGGAGGGAACCAGGCAGCCTATTCTCGGGCTTGAAGCATCATATCCTCTCTAGAGTGGGCTGGGGAAGACTGCCCCTGCTAGGAAATACCTGCCAGCACCATGAGGATGGCCACCGAGGCATCCACCTTGAGCCAGTTGCATCCAGAATGGCAATGACTCACACTGCAGCCCAGGAAGATGACACCTGCCAGTATCAGGAAGATATCCAAGACTTCAGCTCCAATGGAGAGCCACAACACACCTATAAACAGAAAGGACAGAAATGCTGGCCATTCAGAATCCGTAACTGCAAGGTTTGGTCCCTCGGTTTTATCACTAAGACACTTTCTGTTCTTAGAATAAAAGATGGGAGGCTAGGCATTTTGTAAACAAAAAGTTCTCTTCAGCTCCCAGTTTTGGGTGCTGTAAAGTCCCAAAGTGTTCTTGTAAAACTTCCTTAGCTATCTTGCACCATAAGCTTGGCATCATGGTGGGACCATATATGAAAAGGAAAAATCCAGGCTAACATGAAGTCAGAGGGACAGGAGAGAGGCCGGGAGAGGCCAGGCTTATTCTCTTCTAACACTCTCTCATGGGAGCTAACTCAGGGTTGAAAAGGATCGATTCCTTCTGAGCAGCAGCCCAAAGACGTAAGCCTCCCTTAGACTCCACTTTTGAAGGTTCCTATCACTTTTCAGTAACTCTACCCCAAGGACCAAGTTTCCAGTGTAAATACACCCTGTGGACACAGGTAAACGGGAGCGAGGCAAGACAGCAAGCCTTCAATGTGAAAACCAAAGACACCTTTGTTGAGTTTTGGAGAGTTGGTCAGTCAAGGGGATCCTAGGGCCTCGAGGATGGTATTAAGACTGCCCACAGAAGGGAGGGGAAGGGAAACATAAGTAAAACCCTGGTGGAAGGCTGCAAGATACTCTGGGAATGTCTACTCCCCAGCTTAAGAGTCAGCATATTTTATTACAATGGAGACATTGTCTCTGGTCTTTACAGAAAACGCACAGGGGCTGGCGAGAAGGCTCTGTGACTGAGAGCACCTGCTGCTCTGGCATTCAGTTACCAGTGCCTGAGTCTGGTGATTCCCAATCACCTGTAGCTCCAGCTCTAGGGGATCCCCACTCCTCTTCTGGCCTCTGCAGAAGAGGCGTGAAGATTCAAACACACCCCAATACTCAAATCAAAAATGAAATCTGTTAAAGAAGATACCCAAACTTAAATATGAGGGCAGAAGATTCTGAATATTTAAGAGCCTTGGGTAGGTTCCAGTTCTGCCAACATCTCTTGTTTCCATCCAAGCTGCGTGTGTACCCTCGCTGGGATCGCAGCCGGAGCTGTGTTCTGAAGTTGTGGAGTGGAGAATGGGCAGGAGGTGACAGAAGGGAAATGGAAATTTGTAAAAGTCCTACTACTGACAAGGCCAGCCAGGTGCTGGGACAGAGGAACACCTAAGACTAATGTGATCCTCTCTGCAGCTTCATAAAGGCTGTGTTCCGTCTGGGAGAGCAGATACCCAGAGAGCAAACACAAACTCAACGGGAGGTGGAGAGAAGAAAGCACACACAAGGCGAGGTATTCCAGAGCTCGTGTCTTCCGGACTCTGCCTTTCATTACCTGCAGAGCTTGAGATTGGCCACCATGGGAATATTTATGGTTCAGGAAGCTGCAGACTCCACCAGTCTCCTGTCCCCCTGAGAAGCTGACTACCATCTTTCAGCACATGGCGGGGTTATAAGGCACACAAATGGAGCCTGGGTTGACTTTGTGGGGAAAACCATACCCAACCATCTCATCCTTTCCCCATATCCAAGAAAGCAATGGTGAGGGACCCTGGCTGAAAGCACAATGCTTACCTTGTGCCTCGGTGGGCGCCACCCCCAGGAAGCATCTGCATCGCTCGCCTGGAAGACAAGGAGAACTCAGCCAAACACAAACAGACAAACGGAGAACAGAAATGTGCTGTGTCGATACGACTCTAGTCAGCTGTAAAGAAAAACGAATTTGCAGAAAATTGGGTGAAATTGGAAAAGTGATGCTCACGAGTGGTAACCCAAGTCCAGAAAGACAAATACCGTATATAGTTCCCAAGCCAGTTCTAGCATGTTACCGGGAAGCATGCATGTCCAGGTGGAAAGGATCATCCTGCTTTTACTAAAGCAGAAACTAGGAAGGATTCCTCACGGCTGGGGGGTTGGGGTGGGGCAAAGTGGCTCTAGTGGTGGGAGGGTAAAAACAGAGCCAAGTGGAGCTGAGGAGGAAAAGCGAGGAAGGGGACAGGCAGAGGAAGACGGGGCAAAGGGAGGTCGTCAGTGAGAGCAGCAGAAGACCATGGGCAGCAGGTGACAGTTCAGTCCCCGAGATGCAGCTTCCGTGGCTTTCTCTACCTCCACAGGAAGTTTCCAGTCTTCGCTGAGCCTTGCTTTCTTTATCTCAAACTGGGTCTCAGCAAAGTGTGTAGTAAAACAGTTGTGAAAACATGCTACAGAATGCCACATGCGTTTTCATGCTTGGTTATCGACAGAGGCCAGGACAAGGATCTCTGTTTTACAGATCTGAAAGTCACGCTCAAAGTAAGTTACAAAGTTGGTAGAGTAAGCGGTTGAAAGTGGGGGTTTCAGGCCTGTGGGTGTGGCTCAGTAGAACATTTGCCTAGCATTCACAAGGCCCCAGGTTTAATTCCTAGTACTGGAAAGAGAGGAAAGAAGGAAGGAAGGAAGGAAAGAAAGAAAGAAAGAAAGAAGGAAAGAAGGAAGGAAAAGAAAAGCAAGTGGGGCTTTCCTACCTGAGGAGTGATATATTTTCCCACATCACTACTTGCAATCTTTCTGCCTAATGCCTGGAGGCATGTATTAGTCTGTTTTCTACTATATAACACAGTACTGAAGCCTGGATATTTTACAAAGAAATAAGTATTTTGTAGCTCACAATTCTGGACTTTTAAGAGCAAGAAACCAGCTTCTGCTTGGCTCTGATGAGGACCTGGCCTTCTAGTGGGAGTGAGCACAAGATAGAGAACAGCCACTGTATTACAGGAGGCAAGAGGAATTCACCCTCTCAGGAATTAACCAGGATCTCAGGACAAAGAGCATAGCATCCATGATCTAATTGTTTTTCACTAGTCCTGCCTCTGAAAAATCCTACTGCCTTAAATCACCACACGGGATCAGGATCAGCAGATGAACGTTTGGGGGACACCCTCAAACCTCATCCCAAGCACATGAAAGGAGTGAATGTCCTTAGTCTGAGGACAGCCTTTTCCAGAAATAATGGAAGAGAAGCCAGGAGTAGGGCAGGGGCAGGGGAAGCTAGGAGCAGGGTAGGGGCAGGAACAGAGGCAGGGAAAGCCAGGGGCAGGGACAGGGGCAGGGGAAGCCAGGAGCAGAGCAGGGGCTGGGGCAGGGGCAGAGGCAGGGGAAGCCAGGAGCCAGGCAGGAGCAGGGCACAGAGCCTCAGAAAGCCAGCTGAACAGATTAAGAGAATTCCCAATAGCTTAGAAGGGCAAGTTTAGTTGGGCCCAGAGAGCTAGACTCGAGTGACCCCTTGATTAATGTGAATCCCCAGAAACGGTGTTCCTTCTGAACAAAGCCAGCAGGATTAAGAAGAAAAATCTTTACAAATCCCACGAAGCCAGAGAGGCGGGTGTTACATAGCTTGGCAGGGCTTGGGCGGCCAAGAGGCATGGCAAACCAGCCGTAGGAAAATGCATACAAGCCCCGGGTGCTTGACTCTGCCATTCTGCCCCTGAACCAAGGCCCCAGGGCTACCCACATGCCCCTGTCTGCGTGCTTTAAGTTCAGCAGACCAGCTCAGGGCCTACTCAAGCACATACCATTGATTTGGAGATTTGCCTAAGGAAAAGAGCATGTGAGGCTCGCCTCTACCAGGCACTTTCTTCGCAAACCTGCATTTCAGGATGTGGAGAGAGAGGCGTAGACTCCCTTTTCAAAGCTCTCAAGGGCCCACTTGCCAGGAGACAGCTGGTTCAGAGAGGGAAGCTTTCCTCAGTCAGATCCCATGGCACAAAGCTGGGGTGTTGGTTTACCCCCAAGTCCCTTGTCTGCACTTGGTTAGGAACATCTTGGGACCAGAATCCTTATTGCCTGTGCATTGAGGCCGTTCCACCCCCTCCCAAGCCTCTCCACTATTTCTACTACTTCTTATTCGTTTCTGTTCTTACCCTCTCTTTCTTATGCCCCCAATCCCACAGGTGCTTGTGATGCTAGCCCACGTAGGCAGTGACTGGGTGCTATGATCTATACTTCTTAGCAAACATGGCTTTGTTGGCCTGTGTAAAGCTCTAAACAGATTTTTTTAATTGGGAGAGAGAAAACTCCAAATAGTTCCCTTAGCAAAAGCAAAGGATCTCTTTGTACTGAGTTCCCAAGAGGACCTGATCCCAGTGCTGGGCTGAACTCTAAGGGATGACCCCTTGGCCAAGGCATGAAGTTCAAGGTCACTGTCAATCCCAAAGTCTTCATCCACTGCTGGTGCCACCTCCTGTGAGCTATTTGCATTTGTAACTTCTAATAAGTAGTTTTGTTTTGTTTTTTGTTTTGTTTTGTTTTCCAAGACAGGATTTCTGTGTGTAGCCCTGGCTGTCCTGGAACTCACTTTGTAGACCAGGCTGGCCTCTAACTCACAGAGATCCACCTGTCTCCCAAATGCTGGGATTAAAGGCGCGTACCACCACACCTGGCCTACCTAGCTTTGACTTACCCTCTAAAGTCTGATCTTAATGAATTCCTATCAAGTCAAAACTAAACACTAAACTTTTTGCTTTAGGTACATCCTGCAAATCACGGAGGTGATGATATGTCTTCAGACAGTGAAAAAATTTCTGGCGTGTGTCTTGTTTCTATTGTAATAAAAGTAACACTTAGAAACCATAATTTTCTTCTACCAGGACGAGTAGAAAATGTGAACAGAGGAGTTTTAGAGAAATGGGCAAAAAGCATTCTGGTAGTTATTAGATTGTGAGGTAACAAAAGTCAGAGTGAAGAGTGTGGGGTCCAAGTTCATCAGCCTCTCACTCTGCAGTCTTCAATGGGGTGCATACACATCTATGGCAGTTTCTCACTATAATTCTCACATATATAATAGCAACAGATGTAAGTATACAAACGTCTTCTGTGGTTGATGAATTCTGGGAAATGCTGGGATGTATTACTCAGGTTTTTTTTTTTTATTGTGGAACTTCCCAGAGATTATTTTTACATGCTGATGTACACAGTGAGTTTTCAAGAAGAAAATATAGTATGTGATAATTTCCAGTCTTGAGTATTTAGGCTGTTTATTTTCTGCAGAGAACAAGTCTGTGGGCTGAGTTTAGGACCATTCTGTGGGGCCCTTGTTGAAGGCTCCTCCCATGGTGAACTCAGAACTGAGGTGTGCAAAGCTGGGAGGGGACCAGGAACACACCCTTAATTTCTACGCAGGACTATGTGTGACTCACCAACATTAGTCTTCCTCAAAATTCAGTGTGTGTCCTGGAGGATGTAGGAATGCCAACTGGGTTGACAGGAATGCCAAGGGGGCTTCTTCTAGAGGAAGGAGTTCAAAGAGCCTTATACAGTCCTTAATGTTGCCCCACATCCCATTTTAGGAAGAAGATCTTCCCCTGACACACACATACACATAAGCTGGCTAACGGCTTTTTATCCAAAGTCTTAGGATAATTTATACCAATAGCAGCCTAGTGTTGCTATGGCAAAGGGACACACACTGCAGGGCATACAGATGGCCAGCTGAATACATGTTTCTGGGCTCCTTGAAGTTCAGTTCCTCCCTTTCCTTACATCCAGCCAAAGCAGTTTTTCTCACAGGGAGAGCTACAAGGAAGACAACTCCCAGCTCACCCGAAGGCCCTCCTCCCTCTGACATCACAAATAGCATGCCGATGCCAACACAATGCCAGTTTCTCCTGATATATAGGTTTTGCCCTGATATAAGGGGGATAACTGCCCTAGGGACTTGGACAGGCCATGTGAGCTCCATTCTGCCCTGAGTCTTCCTCCCGTTCATTGCCCGTGCTCTAGTGGAAATGCCTGGCGTGGCTGCTTTAGATTCAGCTTATTCCTTTCTGTCTGCCCAGAACATCCTGACTCCTGTTCTCTGTTTATTAAAATCCCCCATATGGGGCTAGGGGAGGACAGTTTGCTTGATAAACTGCTTGCCTCAAAAACACGAGGGTCTGAGTTTAATCCTCAGAACCCAAGAGAAAATGCCAGGCATGGTGATGTCACCTTGTAATCCCAATGCTGGGAAGTGGGGCGGGAGAATCCCTAGGTGCATTGCTGTCCGGCTGTTCTCGCTTATTTAGTGAGATCCGGGCCAAGGGGAGAGCCTGTCTCAAGGCAGGTATCGTTCCCAAGGATGACACCTGAGGTTGTGGTCTCCATATATATGTACACACACACAGCTTCCCCCTCAACATGCACATACAAACATACGTGCACCAAAACTAAAATGTCATGGCTCGGTGCAAAGCCTATCTCCTTTATGAAGCTTTGTCTATACCCAAGTAATATATGGTTCATTCCCATCATGAACAAGCTTCCATATTAACCATTATTACTCCCTTCCTCATTTTGCTTTTATTATAACCTTAGATATTTTCTGGTAGCTTTTACCTTTCAGTACCGGGGATCCCTCTCTGTTAGTCCCCCTAGCCCTGTGCCAAACACAAAAATGCTTGTTGGTGAATATACTTCATGACATTCCAACTGCCTTCTATCCAGGAGACTTTCCTGGGTCCTGGAGTGTGAGTCTCTCGCATGGCATGTACATTGTCACTAGGGAAGCTAATTAGAAATATACTCTAGAGAGAACAAAGTTGAGGGGAACAGAGATGCTAACAATAAGAGAGTGGGAAGAGAAACAGCGATTAGAAACCAGGAAAACCGTAAAAATCTCTATCAACAGTAACTGTAGTCAGAACATCCTTTCTGCTGCTAGAACGAGCAACATCTAGTCAGGATTGCTGGTTTATTGATTTCAATAAAGCAGTGATGTTATGTGGGGTATCCTCATGGAGAATGATAAATTTTATTTATTATCACACTAAGTCAATGGTGAATGTAAAATGAAAATACCCACTTTTGTCCTTCATATAGGAACAGTTTCCCCTGAAGGAAGGGACAGAAAATGTTTTTCTTATAAGCCTTTCAAAATGTGTGACTTTTACTTGTTCATAAATACTACCTTAGCTAAAACAAACAACAACAAAAAACTTACCCAACCAACCAACCAACCAACCAACCAACCAACCAACCAACCAAGAACAGGCTTCTAGTTAGAGCACCTGGGGTCTGGTGCCCGGATGTTTACACACTTCCAGGGCCAGTCTGATTCATGCCATTCTACAAAGCTGGGGATAGATGAGGTTATTCTCAGGAAGGGAGACAGACTTGGTAACAGAAGTTCTTAAGTCATTTACTTATCGATGTGGTGTCTACAGTCCCCTGCGCTAAAATATAGGACTATCTTGGTGATCCCAGAGGATGCAGGATCCATACACAAATGTAACTATGTGTATGTCGGTGGGGGCAGTCTGAGAGAGTGGACTTTATATGATAGTAGTACAGAGAGAAGAGGATTTGGAAGCGTTTAGCCTTAGTAGTCTTAGCACCAGCTACCACTGCTGTGCCTGCATCACACTCAGAGCAAAGGCCACTTAGCCTGGAGGCTAAGGTGGGACATTTACTCACCTGTCAGCAGTCTGCTGTGGGACAATGGTCTGTATTCTGTCAATTATATTATAAATAAACACTGATTGTCCAGTAGCCAGGCAGGAAGTATAGGTGGGACAGTCAGGCAGGAAGTAGAGGTGGGGTGATGAGAACAGGAGAATTCTGGGAAGAAGAAAGCTTATTCTGCAGTCCTGTCCCAGCTACAGAAGAAGCAAGATGTGACTGCCCCGCCAAATAAAGTGCTGAGCCATGTGGCTAACACAGATAAGAATAATGGGCTAACATAAGTTGTAAGAGTTAATAAGAAGCCTGAGATACTAGGCCAATCAGTTTATAACTAATGTAGACCTCTGTGTGATTTCTTTGGGACTTAACAAGCAGGGCAGAAAACTCAGTCAAAAGCAGTCTACTTGCATGGGGTTGGAGTTGGCTGTATCTCAGAGTACTGTTCCTCATTGCAGAATACTTGGCTGCAAGAATAATTTTTGACTTGCCACAAGATGGTAAAATAAACAGCTATACAAGAAATGTAGTGAGTCTGAGGTCAGAACATCAGTGGGGGCTGCTATGGTGACCCCTTCACTTTGGGGCCTTTGCTTTGAAAGCAGAGGAGCAATCTAGTCCTGAGCATGTCTAACATCAACTAAAGAGGTCGAGATTTGTCCCTCTTCTGATCTTCGTGAGGTAAAAACACTTCCTGGAAACTATGCTGTATGTCCTAACCCTCCCCTCCATCTGCTTTCTCTTCTTCCCTCACCGTTTACTTGATAAACCTCCACCTGTAATCAGCTGGAGAGAAGGCTACAAGCTGTGCTGATTTTCTGAGGCCCGGTTTCTGCTTCTGAGCTGAGAACGATTACTGCTCAGGGCTGTTTCAAGGACTGCTTGAGGTCAAGGTCCAACTCATTATGGGCCGTGATTGTGATTGTGAGAGATCTGGTAGGTGACTTGAGGCCGCTAAGGGATAGTTTCTATTTTTTTTCTAGCCTGTAAAAGCTGAGCCATCTCTTCAGCCCTTGTTTTGTTTTTCTAATGAAAACCCTTGTTCCAAGAGTCCTTAGAAGAGCTGGAGAGGTTCAGCATTGAAAAGCGCTTGTTCCTCAGCTGAGGATAGGGAACCTGAAATGACCCTATCCTAGAGCAATACTGACGAATATCTTGCATATCATCATAGAACCTTCATCTGGTGATGGATGGAGACAGAGACAGAGACCCACACTGGAGCACTGGACTGAGCTCCCAAGGTCCCAATGAGGAGCAGAAGGAGGGAGAACATGAGCAAGGAAGTCGGGACCACGAGGGGAGCACCCACCCACTGAGACAGTGGAGCTGATCTATTGGGAGCTCACCAAGGCCAGCTGGACTGTGACTGAAAAAGCATGGGATAAAACTGGACTCTCTGAGCATGGCGAACAATGAGGGCTGATGAGAACCCAAGGACAATGGCACGGGGTTTTGAACCTACGTAATGTGCTGGCTTTGTGGGAGCCTAGCCAGTTTGGATGTTCACCTTGCTAGAAATGGACGGAGGGGGGAGGACCTAGGACTTACCACAGGGCAGGGAACCCTGATTGCTCTTTGGGCTGGAGAGGGAGGGGGAGAGGAGTGGGGGGAGGGGGAGAAGGGGGGAGGAGGGGGAGAAGGGTGGGAGGGGGGGGAAATGGGAGCCTGGGAGGAGGTGGAAACTTGTTTTTTTTTTCCTTTTCTCAATAAAAAAAAAGTTAAAAAAAAGCGCTTGTTGCTCTTGCAGAGGACTTGGGTTTGGTTTTCAAGCAAGTCAGGTGTCACAAGACTGCCTGTAACTCTAGAGAGAGTACACACACACACCCACACACACCCACACACACACACACCTGTGAGTTTGAGGCCAACCTGGTCTACATTCCAGGTCAGCCAAGGTTACAATGTTATACCACATCTAAAGTAACAACAACAATGTTGAAAGAGAGAAAGAAACCTTAGGGATGCAGCTTAGGGGTCTGTGGGGCCACCTTTGATTCTTGAGAAGCCCACAGACAATGACAAGTGGGTGAACACTTGAGCTTCCTAAACAGTGTGTCAGGCACCGTTACAGGCACTTCCCATGAATCTACTCACTTCATCTCCGCGCTGTCTTTAGGAGCTAAGCACCTCTGGGTTCCTAGTTTATAGCTGAGAAAATTGAGGCTCAGAGGTAAAGGACTTGCTTAAGCTAGCATGGTCAGTCCATGGCATACACAAGATTCAGCCCCAGGCAAGCTGGCTCTGGAGCTTCTCAGAGCCACCCTGCACACCCTGCACGCACTGACCTGGGGACACAAAGGCTGCACTCACCTGTGCTGTTGAGGCTTTCCTCACAGGACTGCCAGAGCCCTGCATGGAACCCGAGCAGGAGGAACTTGTCGTCGCCTATCTCCCAGATGTACTGGACAGTCTGGCTATCATCGTGTTCCCCGCCAGTGCTGTTGTTGGCCTGGCTGACCTGAATGCAGTTCACTCTCCCCAAGGGGTCCTGGCACAGTGGTTTTGTCATCCGTCGGATGCCCTCACACCAATGGCTGCTGCCCATGGCTGTGAGGGAGAAGGCAAGAGCCAGGCAGATGGGGAGGAGGGTCAGTACTCGCTGCCACCTCTCCCTGTCCATGGCGGAATGAAGTTCCTAGTGCCAGCAGGAGCAAGGACCCCCTCCTCTCCACTGCTTCACAGCCTCCATCCCCTAGCCCTGCCATCTGGTGTCCTGACACAGCTTGTTCACTATCCCCTGGGGAACCCGAGTTTATTCCAGCATACAGCATTTATGGAAGCATTGTGGCCCGAGATAATCTTCTGTCAAGTTCAGAGTGGGCCTTTCTGTCTTCCCTAGGATGAATATGTGCAGGGGATATTGGTCCATTTTCTAAGTTGGTGGAAAATATGCATAACAAAATTTTACTACCTTAACCATTAAGTGTAGAGTTCAATAGCAGTAAGCATGGTCACGTGGCTGTGTCCTGTTCACCTCCATCTCCAGAACTCCCCTCAGCAAAATCCAAAATCAAAGCTCTGCCGCTATTAAACAATTTCCCACTCCCTCTCCTCCCAGCTTCTGGCAGCCTCTGTTGTCTAGTTTCACAGACCACACCCACTCTCACAAACCTTTGTTTGCATACGGAAGCATTAGAAGTTAGGGGCTGCATACAAGAAATATGAAAACTTGGGGGAATTTCTGGGCCTGTTTCTTGTCCAGCCATAGGAAAGAGAAACTGCGGAGGACTGGTGTTTAGCTCAGGGACTTGGAGAAGCAAAACACAGGCAGTCTGCCTCAAGGTTTGCGTATGGGCAGAGTGGGGAGGGACGTGTGCTCAGCTGGCTGCAGAAAGTCACACCAACCAGGGGACTCAAAGCCCTTGGGCAGTCACTCATGTCTCCCTAGAATGGACCACTGCTGGAGTGATGTTGAAGATCCTGTGGGAGTGTAAGGCTAGGTCCCGCCCCCTTGGTGGCCGAGTCTAAAGGGCTGGGACGAGTGTGGAGTTTCCCAAGAAACTTGTCTTCTAGTTAGGTCTGAAGAATAAAACAAAAACTAAACCCAGTGTTTTTAGGACGGGGAAAGGAAAGGCAATTAGGAGCTCCAGGAAAAGTGGAAATTTACATAAGAAACTCAATAAGCCTGAAAGCAGGAAGGAAAGGAGAGCGGGAAGAGTCTGCGTGGCTTCGGAAGACTGCGGGCGGCCTCCTCATTACGTGTGGAGCAGCACCAGAGACGTCCAGATGTAAACGGGCAGCGGTGTTTGTGCTGTGTCCCTCCATCTGTTCTTCCCTGCTGGCCAGGCCTGAGCCCCTGTGTTCTGTGCTCTTGGTAACCCTAGAAACCAGGCAGTGCTCTCACAGACAGGTTTATCACATTTTGTCACCTATGGCATCCATCCCGATAGGTGGCAGGTGGGGAAGTTGTACTGAGCAGGCCAAGGCAAGTCCTTTCAGTGGGGAGGAAAAGGAGAAATGCTTTTGAGAAACATTCAAAGAAGCGAGATGGAATATTCGTACAAAGCACGCATTTTCTCCCCCACGATGCAACCTGGGATCTCCCCTTTGATGTGTGTAGAATAGCTTTATAGCCACATTACACACATACACACACACACACACACACCACACACACATACACACACATTCATACACACACAAATCACATACACACACACACCTTGCACACACACACACCACATGCACAACACACGCACGCACACCACACACACATGCATACACATACACACACATGCACGCACACACACCACATATACACCACACACGTACATATACATGCACACACACACACACACACACACACGCTTTCCTCCCTCCTTGCCACTTTATTCTGCTCTCTGTCGTCCCAAAGAGATGACCATGCTGATTCTGGAAATCACACCAACACGAAAGCCCACCTGGGAGTCCTTTTCAGACTGATCTTTTCCCTATTAAGGTTTGAATCTTGCCACACAAGGGTTTTAAGATTTTGGGGACTTTTATATAGTGGTATTCACCTGTTTTCCCCCGAATGTTCAGAATTCACTGCTTGTGATCAGCTAATGGAGATGCGCTATGGTTTGACTTAAATGTGAAAAAAGAAAGAGGTGGAGGAGGAAAGGAGGGAGGGAGGAGGGGGGCAGAAACCTGCTTTTCTTGACTCCTGCCATTCTGACATTTTGTCTGTCACCTTCCACTTGGGTCTACAATTGGAAAAGTTGGAGAGAATGCTGGGAACCATCTAGACAGAGGTAGGATGAGGGGGCCCAAGCAGAGCCTTAGAGACAGAGAAGCACCTGCTAGAGAATGGGAGCTTGCTCTGAAGCCAGAGAGATAAAGGGCAGCCCCTGACCTGGTAGCTGAGCTTGGGAGGTTTGCTAGAAAGGGGATGGAAGGTTCTGTAACTGACAACTGAAGATGGGGTGTTGGTTAGTAAGTGGTGGGTCATGAATTCCATAAGTATCCAGGTGGTCAGAGCATCATTGTGTTCAGAACACAACGGCCTGCTCAGAACACGTGGGCAATCGGGAGGCGCCAATCTCTGTGCTTTCTACCCATTGTTTTGCTATTGTGTAGATGTAACTCTCATCACTGAATGGGCTTTGGCTGCAGACCTTGGGTCTGGAGGTGTTGTCTCTGCGACAGGCAAACTGCCCTTGTTACCTTGACACAACCAGAGCTCTGAGGTGGCTCTGCCTTTGTGGCTAGCCCCAGAGCAGTTTAGAAAAGTTTGATGCCCTAGAAAGAAATTCTGCCATAAAAGACACCGACCTGGCATCCCAGCCCATCCTCTCCAGCTGTCCGAACCTCAGGCTGGTCGTATGTGTGGAGCAGAATCCTCAGGATGGAAAGCACGCCTTGCTTTTTCTTCTGGGCCTGCTGAGGAAGTCCCAGGCAGCATAGCCGTCTTGGGGTAGGTCTGGGAAAAATCTCCTAAGATTTTAGGAGGGGCAGGCGGGGGATGAGAAACTTGGAGATTCGGTAGATCGCTGTACAGCAGCTCAGACACTCAGCGGCCTGCAGAGGACTTGTGCAAACACTTCCTCTCTGGACAAGGAGGAATGCAGGAGGCCACCGCCTGTGGTACATCTTGGAGTGCTGGAGGGATGTGCTCGCACTTGTGAAAGGGCGCCAGGAAGATGAGGCCCCAACCAAGGCCGGCAGTGCCCAGTAGAAGCAGAAAGGGGTCCCTGCCCCAGGTACGGGCACAACCGGTGGGCAACCCTGTGGCCCAGAGGACTGATCCTTTCCCCTCTCACGGGATGTGTCTGCTCTGGGGCCCTAGGAGGTCCTTCCTCACCCTGCTTCTGCTGGCTTCCATCAAGCAAGTAAGAACAGATTTTTATTCCTTGTTCTTCTTAATATTATCAGTTGTGCATGTTTTCTGATTGTAGAAGCAATTGAGGTCCCTTGGAGGCAATTTGGGAAGAAGAAAACCATATTAAGAAATGCTACTCAGCCATAACCACAGCGTTCTGTTCACTGCTGTATTTTGGCTGGGCTTTTTTAAATCTCTTGTCTGTGCATTGTTTTACAGAGCTGAAATGATGAAGCACAGATTATTTGTGTCCCAGTCTTCCCTGTACGTCTTTCTAGAAGCATCTTCCATGTCACCTTTCATGGGTGGCTTCTTGTACCCCCTGTACACTCTTAGCCCCTTCCCTGGTTTGAATGGTCACGGGGAGTCACATTTCTGTGTCTTTTCTCTTTTCTTTTGTTCCTATTGCAAATATTTATATTTTTTCTTTATTGTAGTCTGTGGTCTGTAATATTAAAAGACATCGAATCCAAAGACTTACCTATGTCCGATACAAATCACAGTGATCCCACCAAGTGGAGCTCACCCTCACTCACATTTGGGGGCTACACACCCAACACTTCATTCACATCCACGTTAAAACAGCGAATACTCATGCTATATTTAGTTTGCTATCTATTTTTTTTTTAGTGGCAAAACACACAAACAGCAGGAACACACCAATAGTCAGTGGCACTGAGCTTGGTGTCGGGTGTCCCCATTTCTATGATCTCGTTCCGTCCTCTCAGCAGCCCTGCGAGGGAAAGTCTCCCCACTTTATAGAGGGGGAACCTGAGCCTGTGGAGGGCGAGGAACTGCTCCACACTCATCAGTACCGACCCACTGTAGGAGAGCTGAGGGCTTGCTGGATGTATTAGCATGTCCCTCACAGATGCCTCAGTAGCTTGCTTGATTCTTATCCAAGGAGATTAGCCCTTTCCTTCTCCTTCCCTTCCCAAGGTCTCATTTCTTCAGGGCTGTGGTTGGAAGGGACTCCAATGTCACTCATCCAAGAAAGAAAACTCCCTAGGGACTGGCTTCTTAGTCCCCGTTTGCAGCTACACAATGAAAACACCCTGCATCCAGGGCGGGCAGAGGTGCCCCCTTTCCCAGCCCTTCTGCTAGAGACTAGACAGGACTGGCTGCCTCCAAGTTTTCCCTCAGGCTGCCTCCATCCCTCATGATCTGCCAACTTGGGGACAATTGGTGGTCTTGGGGAATCTTGCTATGGTGACAAGGTCTTACGAGGGGACTATATCCCCAAGGAGCAGGTGACCTTGGGCTGCTGCTTCTTCTATGACTGGCAATGCCATTGTAGGGAGAGTTGGTGGAATGCCATCCTTGCTTGCAGTCTCTGGGCATCCCTACAAACACCCAATGTCTCCAGCGGTTTCATTCTGTTCATTCTCTATTCATATGTGCCCAGCTGTCCAGCACACACTAGTAAGGCTGCAGCTCTGATTCCTATGTGTGCAACTGTCCAGCACACACCAGCACAACCGCAGCTCTGATTCCTATGTGTGCAACTGTCCAGCACACACCGGCACGGCTGCAGCCCCGATTCCTATGTGTGCAACTGTCCAGCACACACCAGCACGGCTGCAGCCCCGATTCCTATGTGCCCAGCTGTCCAGCACACACCGACACGGCTGCAGCCCCGATTCCTATGTGCCCAGCTGTCCAGCACACACCAGCATGGCTGCAGCCCTGGCCATACCACTGGAAGACGCCTCCTTACACCTCATCCTGCAGAATGAGAAGAACATGACTAGTGGACCCATTAAATAGATGGGCGTGAAGCTCTAGGGAGTTACAAGACTGCCTTCCCTCACGTACACTCA